CACAAGTCAGGCTTCGTTGCGTGACACGCGACTGGGAAACGCCCACCCACTTTGCCTACACTATACTGCATCGGGGCCGGGTCTCGAGTGGCGTGTCATATAGTGCACAGGGGCCATCCGATCCCATCCTCCACCGCACTGCACACCTGGCTGAACACGCCTCCTTGCCGCATTCAAACAGTTACGGACTATCATTTTCCTCCATTAAACTCGCGAGTGTGCTGAGAAATCTACTCCGTTCACATGTTCGTTCGCGAGCCGCTCATCATTAAAGACAACGCTGGTTGGCTCTGGCCGTCCGTCCACTATTTAAACGGTGCCAGACGCCGGGCAAAAACCGCACCACACTCTGATTCCATCTCCTCCTTGCATCATTTTCTCCACAATCTCCATGGCATCTGGCGAGCAGGAAGAGGAGTTATCCAGCATAAAAGGCGGCTGGGTGGCCCGTCGAGCTCATCGGATATGAGCCAGGCAACTCTCTGCTCCATCACCCTCGACGCTTCAGGCCGCTGCAGGCTGTCTCGCGGATGCAGAAGCCCCAAGCCAGCGCGTCGTTTGGCAACTCGCTTCTCCAAGCCAGCTCGCCGAGGAATGGTGAGTTACTCCAGGCCGACACGTAGGGGAGCACGGTGGCACGGGAATCGCAGCTGCCGTGAAACGACGTCGTGTCGTACCGCTCCTCCCATGCCTACGACTGCGCCATCCACCGTCAACGTAGGTGTAACCGTGCCCTGCCGGCGAAGAAATAATCCAACTTCACGGAGATGGACGAAACGGTGTCCAGCACGTGTGTGCCCTGCCACCATCATCGAGGAGAAGTAGAACATGGGAGGCCACCGCTGCTTGGGGTCCCATGAAAGCCACCGTTGCTTGGGTCCCATGAAAGCCACCACCGAGGCGACCCCGGCATACACAGCCGGTGTCTTGCCCGGCCGCAGACCACCGTTGCCCCGTTCCCCTCCGGCTGAAGCACATCCCGGCGGTTCCACTCCGAGGAGCTGCGCCGCCGAGCATAGGGAAGCGAGGCGTCCTTTGCACTTATGAATATACCTCTGGGGCTCACGACAGTTGGACGAGCGGGCTGCCGGACATGGGGAAGACAATGGAGATCTGCCGCGGCCGGCTGGAGACTAGTCAAGGGTATTTGTCGTGTGAATGGATATCTGCCGGCGCCGGCCGTAGACTAGTTTTACATAAGTCTGGTATATAATTTGTAGTTTAAACAAATTATCCAGAATCGTAATGGATTTTATACGGTTTATATGAAACCAGCCGTATTTGCATGAATTTCGTGAGTTTAGTCCAAACAAACAGCGGTTGAGATGTCAGCCACGGCTCGTTGCGCGACGCGCGACTGGGGACCGCCCACCCACTTTGCCTGCGTCGCACCGCACAGGGGCCGGGTCCCCAGTGGCGTGCCGTGCAGCGCAACACCGGCCATCCGATCGGATCCGATGGGGATCGAAACCCGCACCGGCGCGGCCACCACACGAGGACAGTGCCGCCGAAAATGGAATTGACAACGGCTGCGATGGATTCCGTTGGCACCGAAGCTCGCTCGTAAATGGGCGGCGGTCCCGGTCGGTCAGGTCCGGGTCGCCATCGGGCGGCGTTGTGGCTGGCGATCTTGACGAGATCACCGGCAGCGGCACCACCGATCCCACCCCCCTCGGAAACAAGATGGATCCATCTCGGTGACTGATGGACATATATGCGGCCGATATATACTCCCTCCTCCGCACGTCTCCCTCCAAGTCCCCCAGATCAACCACTCCAACCAGGCCGGGCCGATCCCCTCCTGCTCCAATTCCTAGATAAATCCCCTTCCTCCTCGGCCTCGACTGACGCCGCGAGGGAGGAGCCGGGGAGCGGGGCGACCGGCGATGGGGAACGCGTCGTCGATGCTCACGCAGTACGACATCGAGGAGGTGCAGGAGCACTGCAGCTACCTATGTGAGCGCCCGCGATTCTCCCTCAATTTCTTCCCGCTCCCTCAAATTTTCGCTTCGATTTGGTGGTGAACTATTCGATTCCTGACGCATCTGAGTGTTCTTCCGCCCCGAATCAAAGTCTCGCAGCAGGAGATCGTGTCGCTGTACGAGCGCTTCTGCCAGCTCGACCGCAGCGCCAAGGGCTTCGTCTCCGAGGACGAGTTCCTCTCCATCCCGGAGTTCTCCACCAACCCGCTCTCCCAGGTCCCGTCCCTCCCCCTCCCCCTCCCGTCGCCGAGACGGCCAATTTTCTTCTCCTGCTCGCTTTGTCCCTATCGAGCCAGCTCCAGTTGACTGACTGACTGACTGACTACTCATGTGCTGTCCTTGGATTATACACACTGCTTGCCTGTATTATTGCTATTTTCCTAGTAGTATTGTACTTATACAGCTCTGTCCCCAGAGATGCACTTAATACTGATATGCATAGCAATTGGGATTCCGATCCTCAGCAAGTAAGTATAATTGGGAAAAAACTGATCAGGGTTCCCCACTCAATCAAGGAGCTAGGTGTATCTGAAAATGTTATGCCAATTGCCTCACAGAGCCTGTACGCAATCGATCGGCATACGGAGTTTTACCATACATGTGGAACCTGAATATCTCTATGAAGCCAAGCATCTTCCACATCTGCTTGGAAAAAGCTCTGGCTATCTTTTGATTGGGTACCAATGGAATCATATTTTTCAGTACACAAAGACCTATCAAATTTCAAAGACTGGCATAATGCTTTTGCCAAATACTAGCACTTATCATAGACCACAAAAATCTCCATATAGATCATTTCTACTGAAGATTTGTAGCTCGTTTTTCTTCCCCAGTAAAACCCATTGTATCTGATTTGTACATGTAAATGTAGTTTTGCCAGCAAAACACAACCTCCCTTGCAAATTACGCAGTCTGTTCACTTTCTTTACTCTGTTTGACTGTTTTAGCTATATTCACGGGATTCAGCAGTGTCAACTATAGACGTGAGACTGATTTTGAGCTTCCATGTCTTCTATTTGCAGAGGTTGCTACGTATGGTTGATGGATTGAACTTCAAGGAATTTGTTTCTTTTCTCTCTACCTTCAGCGCAAGGGCCAGCCTTCAGCAAAAGATTGAGTGTAATGCTCACCACGTTTCTTTTCCTCTTTTTGCTGTCTATCTTGAAAGGAGCATATGTTGGTTTGGGTCTCTCTGATCCTTATGATGACTACTAATTTGCTGGTCCGGTGCTGATTTGGTTTGTGTTTCATTGAACAGTGATATTTAAGGTGTATGACATTGATGGCAAGGGGAAAGTATCCTTCAAGGACCTGGTAGAGGTTTTACGGGACCTAACAGGCTCATCCATGTCAGAGAAACAAAGAGAGGTTCTGATTTGATCCAAACCTGTATTTCATTGCATAGTACTACATTCACTTGCAAGTACACTTGCTAAATCAACAAGAACAAATGTGGCTCTTTCCTTGTTTCCTTTTCAAATAATTAGTACCCTGCCATCATAAACACATCAAGTGTGCATACCTTGTTTCCAAAGTGAAGGGAACCCTGAAACTAAATTGTAGGTGTCTTCATTGCAGTAAATGTTCAGAGTAGCATGCTTTGCAGTGCAAATTCCTATGTTGATATTTACTACTCCCTCTGTTTGTAAACAGAGGAGCATTAGCTAGAAAATATAGCCTTGTGTGGAACCAATCCTTGTGTAGCTAAGAGCTCAGTAGCCAGATTTCATGATTTTTGTACATCCACAAGACATAGCCTGTAATTAGTGCCATTTCTGACCATTTGCAGTGAATAGTCTTGGTATCGTTTTGAACTTGATGCATAATGCTCTTTTCAAGCTTATTTACAGCACTATCTATAATCTCAGATACAAGTACTGACACTATCTGAGTTGATGCGTTTCAGCAAGTACTAACAAAGGTGTTGGAAGAAGCCGGGTACACACAGGATTCCACGCTAGCATTAGAAGATTTCGTGACGGTACACAGCTAAACCTTGCTTTCCATTCTTATCATGCTGTGGCATATTCATCTGAATACAAAAGGCATAGCTCATGTGGTTGTATCATTATCCAGTGTGGCTACTACTAGTACTTCATCTATGAACTTTTGTGACGTGGTTTCAGATCATCGACCACCCCGGCCTGAAGATGGAGGTGGAAGTGCCCATCGACTAAGCGAATGGCGAATGCAGATGAGTATGCAATAAGCTCTCTCTGACTGCTGGAAACAAGTGTCCATAGCCAATAGACCGTGTGACAGAATAGAGTGGGAGCTCACTGTTTTGAGCTCTTGTGTACCTGTCCACATACATGCCCGAATCTTACAATGCAGTGTCAGTTTAGAGTCATTTTTTTTCTTTCTGTTTTGAGGGGATTGATTAATGCAGTGTCAATGCCCGTCAAAAAAAATGCAGTGTCAATGTAGAGTGATCCTTGTTACAGTTTCCAGACTATGATCCAAACCTAAAATTGTTTATTATGGGATTGCAGCTGTGGACTAAACCACATGAGGCCAGTATTTGTACGGAAAATCATGGTCTCATCTTGGGTTCATGTGGACTAGGTATTTGTAACTTGGGGAAAATTCATGTGTGGAATTTAAAATATGTGGGAAAAATGATGCAGCTCTTATATTATGGGACGGAGGGAGTCCATTGTAGGCTGTGCCTGTGGTATAATGTTTAAACCTTTGCACAATGCTTGAAAGAAAAGAAAATTAACGTGTTGATTTATTTTTTCACAATTCTTTCATATACTCCCTCCGTTGCAAATTACTCGTAGCTGAAATGGATGCATCTAGAACTAAGATACATCTAGATACGGAGGGAGTAGTATTCAGTTAGACGATGACATGTGGGCCCAGTAACCAGTTAAAGACTTCAGATTCATCTCCTTCCTTCCGCCGTTCCCCTTTTCACCTTTCACCGCTCAAAGCCCTCGCCCAAATCTGCAGCAAGCAACGCCCCATTTCATCCACTAGAGTTGCGAGCTCCAAATCCCGCAGAGCAGGTCGGCCATGGCGTCCTCCGGCGCCGGCGGGGAGCCGTCGAGGTCCGCCATTGTGGCCGACACGGCGAGCGGGCACCACCTTCTCACGATTCAGGGCTACTCCTGCACCAAGGACCTTCCCACCGGAGAGAAGATCAGTTCCCGGCCCTTCACAGTCGGCGGCCACCGCTGGCGCATCGACTACTACCCTAACGGTGTAAGCTCGTCGGCCAACAGCTGCATATCCCTCTCCCTAGTCCTCGACGAAAAGGTCGCGGCGGATGTGAAGGCGAAGTACAGCTTCTGCCTCGCCGGCGAGGTGGAGGAAAAACAAGCGGCGCGCCTGGCGTCGGCCACGGTGAGCACATTCCCTTCCAAGAGCTGTAGCGTTCTCAACTGGTACTCGACCTTCATCAAAAGGGAGGACCTGCAGAGCTCCAAGAACCTGAAGAATGACTCGTTCACCGTCCGGTGCGACATCGTCGTCGTCCACCGTTACCTCGTGGAGGACGCGCCGCCAGGCTTCGTCTCCGTGCCGCCGCCGTGCGACCTGCGCCGGGACCTTGCCAAGCTCCTCGAGACTGAGAAAGGTGCTGACGTGGTGTTCGAGGTCGGCGGCGAGACCCTCGCTGCTCACCGGTGCGTGCTGGCGGCCCGCTCGTCGGTGTTCGCCGCTGAGCTCTTCGGACCAATCAAGGAGGGCAATGCTGCTGCCGCCGGTAGCCTCGTCGTGCCTGTGGAAGACATGGAGGCAGAGGTGTTCAAGGCACTACTCCGTTACGCATACACTGGCTCATTGCCACAGATCCGCAAGGAAGACGAAGACGCCACCTGCCAACATCTGCTCACCGTTGCGGACAGGTATGGCATGGAGCGGCTGAAGCTCATCTGCGAGGAAAAGCTTTGCAAGTACATCAATGTCGGCACGGCGGTGACCATTCTGGTGCTGGCCGAGCAGCACCACTGTGAGGGGCTGAAGAAGGCATGCTTCAAGTTTCTTGCCACTCCGGCGAATCTGAAAGCCGTAGTGGCCACCGACGCCTTACAACAACTGAGCACGAGCTGCCCTTCTCTTATGGTAGAGCTCATGGCCATGTCCTTGGCGCATTCTTAGACTTGGTATATCGCTGCATCTATTCTTGACTATGGGGATGCAAAAAAGTTGTCACATTTTGCCCTTGTTTTGTTAGTTCATTGCATCTCTTCAACTGTGCAATTAACCATGAACTGCATTTGTAGCAGAGGGTGTAGAATGATCAGGATTTTGGGCAATGGTAGCTCGTCGTTTCAGGTCATTGTCATCAGATATTGTGCTTGTTTTAGCATCGGGTATTCCATGGTTCCTGAACCTTATTGACTTGTGTTATTATCTCTTAGTTCTTGTGATACATGATATTGTTGACAATGAGAAAGTTACCTTCAGGCCTGGTACATGTTTTACAGGACCTAACAAGGCCATCGATGTCAGGGCAACAAAGAGAGGTTCTCATTTCATACAAACCTGTATTTTCATAATTTCATTGTATGCTCTCTTGGAAGTATACTGTCATTTTATTAGAACAATAGTAGCGGACGTGACCTTTTCCTTATTTAATCTTCAAATATTCTTCCATCATATTTCCATAAACACATCAAGTGAGCATAAAGTTATCCCTGGCACTAAAATGTACTCCCTCCGTATGGAGGAATCATGTACATCCAGAGCTACAAATGTTAGAAGTATTGTCTTTGCAGTGCAAATGCATATGCTGAGCAATTATTACACACAGGTAACACATCTTTTTACTATTAGTTTGAAAGACGTAAGGGAACTCATTCCGCAAGTAGGTAAGAGTTCAGTACCACGTCCTTATTCCTCAGGCCTTAGTCTGTATCAACTGTTATATCTTTGACCATTTTCAGCAAAGAGTTTTTAGTTTATATTGTCAATTTGACCTCTTTCTGCATTGTGCTTTTTCTTTCGAGTTATGAACAGAAGTAGAATCTCAAAGTAACAGGATTTTAATTGACGCCTTTGAAAAGATATTAACAAAGTTATTGGAAGAAGCCGGTTACGCAAGGGACTCCACGCTATCATTAGAAGATTTTATGATGGTTCACAACTAATCCTTAATTACAGTCCTTATCATAAAATGAACACTGACAGTTTCTCGAGTAAATACAAATTAGCTTATGCAGTTATACTATGAACACATTCCTAATTTATAAATTATGTTTACAGTTCTATGTTTAGCCAGGATCCACTGGAATCGGCATTACTGAACTGTATATTGCCAGGACCTGTTGAGTATCTCTGTTCTACTGTGGACTCATTTATAAACTATTTTCTGATGTGGTTTCAGTTCATTGACCATCCTGGCCTGAAGATGGAGGTGGAAGTATCGATTTACTAGTGAATTTTGATGAAAAAAATTATATTGGGGCTTGGCAAATACTCCCTCTGTCCCAACATAAGTGTCAAAGTTGTACTAAAGTTAAGACACTTATTTTGGGACGGAGGGAGTAATTTTGAAGAAAATATCTTCGAAACCAAACTTTGTCCTGCCAAGAAAGGATCTTCTCATTTTGGTCTAGTTTAATGGAGACCAAACCGACTCATGGGATCATGTGTGGTCTGGAAATTAGACTATGGCTACTACGTTCCCTAGGTTGTTCAACTCTATATTGAACAAATTTTTTACTGTGAACAAAGTAGTGCAGTGTGAGGACCTTCAGTTTAGAAGGGTGTGTG